ATCACTTAATCAGATTCTGCGCCAGTCGCGGAATGTCCAGCCCCTCAATCTGTTGCTCCATCGGACTCTTTTCCGTCTGTGTAACGGCCTCAAAACGGGTCCAAAATACGGCCTCTTGGGTCTAATGCCATTTTGTCGCAGTCGATTGCGGACTGTTTGTGAGCTGATTCTTCTCAATCCTTGTATCCCAATTGCAGTGACGATATTTCTAATAGCAGGGTCCAACCTTGGCATGGTAGCGTTTTAACGTTGTGATGAATTAAATCTCCAAACTTTGTCGTGAAATGCACTAAAGTTTAACAGTTGAGTTGGCCTCATAATTCTCGTGAAAAACGTTAGCAAAATTTAGCGGCGAAAAAGGTCAAATGCACTTTTAGCGAGCCGCAAATTTCATGTGGCAGGGAGCCAAATCAAAAGAATAGGCATTTAAAGTTAAAAACTTACCTGTAAAAATTCGAAGATGCAATTGACCGTTTCATTTTACCTTGTAAAATATATATTTTGCATTTTGAAAAAGCTATGCGTTTCTTTTTTTGAACAGTATATTATAAGCTAGTTCAAAACCAATTACAACTCATAGATAAATGTTGCTCTCCCAGACTAAAGTATCAATCAGTACACATCTAATGAATTTAGTGTAAAGCAGTCATAAAACAGTCTGAGGAAGTCAGAGGGAAGGATAAATACCCTGCCACTTCCGGTCTGTGTTTATGTTTGACGCTTTTCTGCTTTGTATCGATCTGATGAGTTAATATAAAAATAAGAAGATGTGGTATAATGGCCAATGAGAAAACTCTCCACAAGAGACCAAATGACATAGAAATGAACAAATATAGGTCACCGTACGGCTTTCAACAATGAGCAAAGCCCATATCGCATAGTCACCTATAAAAGGCCCCGAAGTGACAAATGTAAAACAATTCAAACGAGAAAACTAACGGCATAATTTATGTACAAATAATGTACGAAAAACAAATATGTTACACGGCAACAGACGACAACCACTGAATTACAGGCTCCTGACTTGGGACAGACACATACAGAATGTGGCAGGGTTAAACTCGTTTGAAGGCGCCAACCTCCCCTAACCAGCCCTTTTCAACTGATTTTTATAGTTAGTTCTTATGTTGTGCTGTTACACAACTGTCCCAGGTTAGGGGAGGGTTGAGCGCTCACAACATGTTTAACCCCGCCACATTCTTTATGTGCCTGTCCCAAATCAGGATCCAGTAGTTTAGTGGGTGTCGTTGGTTTATGACTGTCATATTTGTTTTTCGTTAATTGTTTTGTTATAAATTAGGCCGTTAGTTTTCTCAATTGAATTGGTTCATATTTTTCATGTTGGGGTCTTTTATAGCCGACTATACGGTATGGGTTTTTCTTATTGTTGAAGGCCGTACGGTTGCCTATAATTGAGGAACGCATGATATTGTACAATGTCAAAATAAAGGTAACCTTATCGACAGGATGTAGGATCATGGGTACTCATAAATGTACATATAAAGCAATATATATTTTTTTTTTAATTTTTCAAGGACAACATCAATGTTAGTACAGATAACAACGATATTTAAAGATGTTGCTACTGTGTTGAATTATTAACCTCTATGAATAAGTTTTTTCAAAGGACCATGAGTTTGTACATAGATCAACGAGCTCTACAAACGACATCCCCATTACAATTAGGATGTGATGTCCCGTTTTGAATACGAATTGTACTGGTGCAACCAAAATTCCTTCCGATTCTTTGTATCGATGAAAGCATTTAGTACATGTTTTAATTATTGTGTGGCAAGTTTAAACCGTCTTTCCTTATTTCGAAATTAATCGGCGACATTTTGATTTTGTAAATCATTGTAGATCTAGGTGTAGAATATATGTGTTATACATGACTACGGATACATTCCACTTGTTGGAATGACAGTCCCTTTCTCCTTTTCTCGTTTATGACACCACCGAATGCAACTTATCACAGAATGTGTTTTGCCATGTACAGCAGAACTTGTTCTACTAATGGATAAGGAAGTGCTTTTCATTGGCTTTGGGTTAGAACTGTTCATTTTTTTATTTCTGTACGGTGTTTTTTGAACTCTTTGTATGTTTGTCTCTTTTTCTCATGGCTGTAGTGTTATCTGGCATGTTGTTGACATGTAGTTTTGACAGCCCTCTTTAGTATATTGTCTTAAGATACTGATTGTATTAATGATTGAAAAAAACTTGGCAAAGCGACCCACGTATGGAATGAATTCAATGCAAATTAGTCCAACTCTTTTATGAAAAGTTGAATACTAGAATACAGTTTTCTGGAAATGTACAAAGATAAAAAAAAAGTGGGTGGTATAAATGCCAATGAGAAAACTCTCCACCGAAGACCAAATGACATAGAAGTTAACAACTATAGGTCACCGTACGGTCTTCCACAATGAGCAAAACCCATACCACATAACCAGCTATAAAAGGCCCCGAAATAACAAATGAAAAACAATTCAAACGAAAAAAACTAACGGCCTGATTTATGTACAAAATAATGAACGAACAACAAAATTAATATGATATATAGCAACAAACGACAACCACTGAATTACAGGCTCCCGACTTGGGACAGGCACATATAGAATGTGGCGACAATTGAAAAACATCTTACCCATTCTTGAATATTTACGATGGTTATCAAATGAAGACTTTTCAAAAATGCTATCAACTGTTAAAAAAATCACTTGTAGGAACATTTCATTTATATTATGTTCATCAACATTTTGAACTTTTCGACCAGTAAATATTTGATTGTTCAACATGATCAAATGGATTTTGTTTTTTTGATTTTACATGACATTACAAACCAATACTTACATCCCGAATTCACTATTCAACAGATTTTGATAGAATGATTTTTTTATTTATGCATTTTATTTATAATAATTATTATTTTGAAAACAAGAATCATTAACTGATTTTTGATAATATTTTCAACTTCAAAATTAACGATTACGAAATATACGCAAATCCTTTATATATGTACACTTTTTAGAATCTACCTGCCTCAGTAAATAGGATATTTATATATATCAACGCAACGAATTTATCTATTTGTAACATAAATCTACAAAACCAAACTGCATCATAGTTGTTAAAAATGATTACAGCTGTTTCATTGGTTTAGACAAATGACAACCCACTGATTACCGGTTTACACAAAAAATTGAAAAGTCAATAAATCGGGTTTGGAGTCAAGTGCTCTGGAATGGTTAACTGTTTCTACTCCGCCAGTCATACCCATGCTGTTACAAGTTCAAGTATTTGGAAATTCAGGAGGAGAAATGTATAACAAAGACCATTCAAAATGGCAAATCGAAGACTTGCGTAGCATCAAATCGGAAGACTGTTAGAAATAAAACTCCATTACTACAATATATAACCATAACATCTAGACCATCCTTGAGGAAAATTTACCTACAGCGTTTAATAGGAAATATAACAAATGACAATTCTTTCAAACAACAAAACATCAGATCATTTATTGACCCATTAAAATAAATCTTTAATATTAATTCTTTCAAAAACAAAACATCAGATCATTTATTGACCCATTAAAATAAATCTTTATTATTATTTCTTTCAAAAACAAAACATCAGATCATTTATTGACCCATTAAAATAAATCTTTAATATTAATTCTTTCGTCATGTTTATATTACATGTTATGCAGTATATTTATCTTGTTTTTTACTTTACTTTTATACAGATGTATGCTACATGTATGTACGTGTTTGCATTTGTGTTTTTCAGCAGTTTTTGTTTATGCTTTTCAATAATGATGGCCTCAGGGAAGGTTACTTACATAACTTATTGTGTAACTCTCTTAAAATAAAGTATTGTTGTTGTTGCTTACATTTAAAAGTTATGAGTATATCGTTATACGCAGATATTGGGCCTCGGTGGCCAAGTGGTATATGTATTCTAAGTATACTGTATCACTAGCCTGTCAACACTGAGGTTGTGAGTTCGAATCCTGCACGTGGCAGGTACGCTCGACTCCAATCTTTATTGAATAGGAGTGTCAGTTTTCCTACCAAAGGTCAGTGGTTCTCTCCGTGCACTTCGGCTTTCTCAATCATTAACAACTGACCGCCACGAAATAGAACAATAGTGCTGAAAGTGGCGTTAAACACCAATCAATCTATTATATGCGGAATGTTTTTAAATTGAAATTATGAACGAAAAAAAAATTTATAGGGAGTGAAATACAGATCAAAATAATTTACAATTTTGAAAGATATTTTCTTATGAAAAGTAATACAATTTGAAAAAAGATAAGCTGAGTATTCGACCGAGACAAGTCGAAACGGTTTGTCAAATTTGAAAGTATGGTGTTAAGGTATTTGAAAGCTTAACTCCATTTGTATATCCTTATTCAAAATTGCATACTTCTGAATCTAAATAAAACCAGTTCCATAACTAAGATATGTTCTAAACGTTTATCTGAGAACTAATGCATAGAAACAACACAGAACACCGCAAAACAATGTCTGGAAGTCCATAATATCAGACAAAAACAGAACTGATCAATTGATGAGCATATCCTTCTTCTTATGCGATTGTGTCTCATTTTGTGTTGATTAAAAGCCATGCATGGTTTGCATTAGATTTTTATAATGCTAGGAAACTTCATGCAATACGAGTTGTATACTAACATTTCAAAGAATTTCAATAATAAAAATTTCACACAAATAAAATTTTCAATTTAAAAAAAAAAGAGTTTATTCGGAAATGTTCTCTTGTTTGTTGGAGTAACCATATGTTATTGTAACTCTTGTATGTAGTACCAAATCATGGGGCATTCAGATTTCATATTAATTAATTAACAACTGTATATATTTGATTATTATATATCAAGGAAACAATTTTATCAATAATAAATAATTGTTTCAATTTAACGGTCTTTTCACTTTTCCAATACGCCAATTTTCATTCGTATTTCAGAAATTAATATTTGTATTTTTTGTGTTTGTAGGTTTGATCAATTATTCTCAGTCATGTCATAAAACGGACGAATCCATTTCGTTTACTGGGTGTTCCAAATATTATCTACAACTCAACAAAACCAGGTTTATGTTTGATAGAGAGTATGAAGACTGTTCCGCAGTATACAAAGAAGCACAAACATCAATTATAACTCTTTGTAACGAAAAGAACAATTCAGACATATGCACCTTCAATCTTTCTGAAGTAATCCGGAAATATCCAAGATGTTTTCAATCAAACACTCTTCTGCTTAACTATACATGTAAAGGTAATGTTTCACAAGGTTAAGGATGTTCGCTCCTCTTGTGTTTGAATTTTTGCCAGATATTCGGATTCCTCTGGTTTTATCCATGTAGTGCCATTAAAAATTGTGCCCATTAACCCCTACTTTTCTTTCCATAATTTGATGATATATAGTTTAAAATGTCATCTTTGAAAATCTTATGAAATCCTTGTTCATTTTTCACTGTTTTTGAAAGAAAAAAGGTGCCAATGTTAAATATATGAAAAATCTAGAGAGAATTATTTCCCGCCAAATTTTCAATGGCTTATATCTCGAAACCAATCACACGGACCCTAATTTTTTTCTGCTTTTTTAGTTTCTTTATACATAAATTATCAATTTATAACAGTATTTTAAAAAGCTTGTTATTTTGAAAATGAGGAGTGAACATCCTTAAACCAAAGTAACATTAATCAAAGACAAAGATCGATACATGTTCGTAGTAAACACTTTTATTACATGCACTTGTTATAGCTAATATAAAAATAATAAGATGTGATATGACTGCCAAGAAGACAGCAGTCCGCCAGAGACCTTGTGACGTAGATGTAAGCAAATATATGTCTTTGTATTGATCGTAATGTTCATTTTTACATGATATCGAGACAGGCATCCATATTGTTCTGGATATCTGTAAAGTCAAATCGTTTTTTAATATTTATACGAGAGGCAAAAGATACCAAAGGGACATTCAAACTTAAAGTCGAAAATAAACTGACAACGCCATGGCAAAAAAAGAAAAAAACCAAACGACAAACAACAGTACACATACACAACATAGAAAACTAAAGACTAAGCAACAAGATCCCCAACAAAAACCGGCACCCGTCGTGTTACTCATGTAAGTACAAATCCGGTGATAAGTCTAATTCATTAGGTCACATTCGGGAAAATGGAGGACGGGATTATGGTTACGACGATTGAAACATATCCATCTTCATCTGTGAAACAGAAACTTTCAAGGTATAAACGTTTCACTTTATTTGAAATGGAACAATAAATTGGGTGATGTAAAAAAAATAACGTTTTTTTTTATCTCGACTCGACTACACATCATTACACAGGACTGATTCGTGCAATTGTAGAATTCATTCAAAAAAACGGGTTGCATTCCGAACATGTACATTATATAGTATCTCCGGCATGTGCGTTTGGACTCCACAAGTCGATGCTCGCCATTTCTTTTTTTATACAAGATACAACGGAATAAGAACAGATTTGAAAGCTAGTTTAGATTAGCTTACCCTTCCGGGAATCACCTGAGATCACACCCTGTTTTTGACGGGTTTCGTGTTGCTCAGTCGTGAGTTTTCTATGTTGTGTCTTTTGTACTGTTGCGTTGTCAATTTATTTCGAATTATGAGTTTGAATGTCCATTGGTATCTTTCGCCTTTCTTTTAGAAAATTTGTCACATGATATGGATATATCACTCGTCTCCTCAGGATGTGATCACATGATGTAAATATTTCACTAGTCTTCTCAGGATGTGATCACATGAGTTATTTAGAGTATTGTCTCATTTTTATGCTATTTGTACATGCTGTAGATATATATAAAAGACTAAGCGATTTATTATTTCTTAATTTAAGGTAATATAGTTATCATATTTATACTGGAGAAGACTTCATATGTTAGGAAAACTTGCATCTTATCCCATTCGAATCCTTAATCAAATGAAATAGTTATAAACCAAATCAATTATAGCTCGACTATAACGATATTTGTGAAAATGTACATTTTTTTATTATCAATGATTTTAGAGAAAGTACCAACTACCTTATCTAATGATTCACAGGAGACAAATGTTTCACTAGACAGAGGTATGTAGATACAGTGGTTAAGCCAATATTTAGTATTTATATTTTAACACATACTATTTGAATGTTTATGTCTGTTTAATGCATGCAACATTAGTCTATTGGATGTAGAGAGGATGTTACAAATATCTTTATCTTTGATTATTTGAGCGCTAATCACAAAATATAAATTAAACCTGTGATATTATGTGCTTTTAAGTTAGCTTGTATTTTGAATACCCATATAATGTTATTGGTCATTTTAAATTCAAAAAGCGTTATTTTTTTGGGATTTTCAAATTCAATACCTTAAATTACTGTATTCAAAACGTTTATTAGCTTCATCCTAAATCACACATACTCAAAATCAAACGTGTCTGTGCCATAAAAAGAGCAGGAAAAATACAACGCAAAGGATCAAATACATCAATATAATGATAATAATGAATACATCAATACATGAATACAATTGTCAAGACGAACTATTTAAGTATGACTGCGAGGATCCTTCAAGACTAAATGTGATAGAGAGAGGAAAACAAAGTTTTAATAAAAACATATAGAAAAGGACTCTTTATCTACTTTATCAACTTCATCCAAATAAGATGTGTGGTACATGTATACGTCAATGAGATAGCATTCCAACGACACCAATATTCCGAACAACGTAATTCAAAAGTGATGTGTGGTACATGTATACGTCAATGCGATAGTATTCCAATGACACTAATATTTCGAACAAGTTTGTAGCTTAAATTATTTAAGATGTTTAAAGAACGGTACAGAATATTCTTTTCCTACATAAAGTAACCATACACGTTATTTGTTTTAGCAGAACATACTTTATTAAGTACAAAATTTAATACATTAACAACAATTAACTGTATTCATTCGCAATTCTAATGCAACATCGTTTGTAACGTTCATTTTGATTAGATAACGTCACCAATTTTCATGGCATCAATTCACAGCTGATGCTATGAAAACTTACGCGCAAGCGCAGACGACGTATGGCAGATTTTAAATGTATGATTTGACGTTGTTTTCTGTCAGTTTCATTAGAATGGAGATAACAATATTATATTTTAAGCTCCGACGGCATCAATTGGTGATTTGATGATCGCAAATACCCGTTTACTGGCTCCTCTAACGCGTCACCAGTAAACTTTATTTGCGACCATCAAATCACCAATTGATGCCGTTGGAGCTTAGAATACAATACAGTTATCTTCTAATAATAAAGCATTGTAAAATGTTTACAGGTTTAGTTGTCGGTATGGTTGTAGCGATCGTGTTGTTAGCGTGTGTTGTTGTTATTATTTGTCTCGTCAGAAGGTAATATTTTATGTTTATTTTAATTGCAATTGTTTCGGTTGAATCAAAGACGGATATTTTTTTTTCAAACATATCCGTGAATAACTGTGCTTCTTTTAAAATATGTGTAATTCTGTAAAATCTATATTTTCAAAGAATAACTTATTTTCAATAAATTGTTTCCCAGTTTTTTTTTTGTAGTTGCAGTTATAGTTAATACTATACGAACTAGCAATTGAAAATATATAAATATTAAGAATGACTATGAAATAGTAAAAAATTGTATCATGTATTATATAATTATCATTTAGGGGCGTACATAATATATACTATCAGAAGAAAGATGTTGAAAATCTTTAATTATCTTATAGCAGGAAACATCGATGTCATCATTGTTCACTGAACAAGTTTCCGTTCCGAGACATTCAAGTTAAAACGTGCTGATGCCCACCACATGTCAATATTGCTTTTTAAAATCTGTGTGGTAAACTTGTTTAAAACATACTTGTGTTATTGTTACGAAAATGCACTGCATATTACATGATTATGTTTGGAAACCACTGTTACGAACCCTCATTAAAACCAATACAAACTTACACCTATCATTTCGGATATTGCAAGTCACAGACTTTTCAAACCAGTTCGCATTGGAAAAGATGAAAAAGAGAAAAGATCTTTTCTTAAACTTTCCTTTGCCAACAAAGGTCTCGATGGCGTCAACTTAGGCAATATCCTTCATCATAAATTAGTTCAGTCGAAAATACCTCCTTATTTTAAAGATCAGACTGTACCAATAATTTCTTAAACCTATACCAAACTAATTGCAACTAAAATTTTCAATTACAAACACGTTTTGCAGGATCTCAACATTGACGACTTCAAGTCTAAACCTCCTGATTGCACCTGCGCTAGTTCCCAATTCACATATAATCCGGCTGGCCACGTTATTACCGGAGACCTCAACATTGTCAATAACACTTCCCTGCGACATTTGTTATCCAAAGGTCCAAAATATATTGAGCCTAAATCCATCAATTAGAAATACAAATTCAAAATACTGATCGATTCAGTCGAGGATTATGCCAGGCAATGGGCTAAACGTAAGAAAGAAGACGTAGATACTCTTTCCGAATGGATTAAGGCTGTGATGTCGTTGATACAAATACGAATTAAGAAACTAAATGGGTCTATCAATACCCACGCTACGACAATTTTTAAAGACCCAAATGTTGTCCATCCTCCATGACAAATATGTTGTTGTCCCCGCAGATAAAGCCCCATATAACATCGTTTTTGTGTGTAAATATCATTACATAAACTGCTTGATAAATGAATTAGGTATTGACAATTCATTTGGAAGCTCAACATATACCCTCACGACAATTACCAAAGAGGAAATCCTGGATAATCATAGGTCTGTTGAATGTTCCTATGGAATTTCAACAAAAGATGAAGAACTGGATCTTCCATCACTGTATTGGATACCTAAACTACATAAGTGTCCTTACAAACAACGGTATATTGCTGGGTCTTCCAAGTGCTACACGAAACCTCTTTCTAAATTATTAACATCTATTTTATCAGCAATCAAAGCCGGGATCCAAAGTTATTGTGAAACTGCCTATTCTAGAGGTGGCGTGAATCAGATGTGGATACTAAAAAATTCCAAAGATCTTTTAGAATACAGACAATCTAAGACTCTCTCATCTTGCAATAGTATTTAAACATTTGACTTTTCTACACTTTACACAAGTATTCCCCATTCCAAACTAAAAGACAAATTGAAAGAGTTGGTATTACTTTGTTTCATTAAAAAGAATGGCGAACGTAGATACAAGTATATTGTCTTGGGGAGGGATAAATCCTACTTTGTAAAGAATCACTCTGATTCAAAAAAAAATTCTCTGAAACTGACATTATCAAGATGCTTGATTTCTTGATTGAAAACATATTTGTTACGTTTGGAGGACGTGTTTTTCAACAGACTGTCGGAATTCCTATGGGAACCAATTGTGCCCCTCTTCTTGCCGACTTGTTTCTTTATTATTATGAGGCTGACTTCGTACAGGAACTTCTTAGGAATAAAGATAAGAAGTTAGCAATATCCTTTAACTTTACGTTCCGCTATATAGATGATGTTCTCTCACTAAATAATACAAAATTGGTGACTATGTTGAACGAATCTATCCCATCGAACTAGAGATAAAGGATACTACAGATACATGCAGTTAAGTCTGCCTCATATCTTGACTTACATCTAGAAATTGACAATGAGGGTCGGTTGAAAACACAACTTTACGACAAAAGAGATGATTTCAGCCTCCCAATTGTGAACTTTCCATTTCTATGTAGCAACATTCCAGCAGCGCCTGAATACGGAGTATATATCTACCAATTGATACGATATTCCCGGGCTTGTATTTCCTATAATGATTTCCTTGATAGAGGATTGCTGCTCACAAGGAAGCTATTAAACCAAGAGTTCCAAATGGTGAAGTTGAAATCATCCCTTCGTAAATTTTACGGACGACATCACGAGTTGGTTGACCGTTATGGAATAACCGTTTCACAGATTATATCGGATATGTTCCTTATGTCTTAACTATAATACCCTTCCCTTTTCACGAATGTGACCTACCGAATTAGACTATTTACCGAATTTGTAATAACATAAGCAACACGACGGTTGTCACATGTGGAGCAGGATCTGCTTACCCTTCCGGAGCACCTGATATCACCCCCAGTTTTTGGTGGGGTTCGTGTTGCTTAGTCTTTAGTTTTCTATGTTGTGTCATCTGTACTTTTATTTGTCTGTTTGTGTTTTTATTTTTGGCCATGGCGTTGTCAGTTTGTTTTCGATCTGTTAGTTTGACTGTCCCTCTGGTATCGTTCGTCCCTCTTTCAGGTGAAAATACAAAAAATAATGAAAATTTATTCACATTACAGGCACGTTATGTGCAGAAAACCTAAACATGCTAAAGAAAAACAGACAACTGGTCTTGACAATAGTGGTTTTGTTGGCAATCAAAGTGCATCTTTAACCACTGGTACTGATAACACAAATAACCAAAAAGTTGAATACATTGGGACACATGATAAACATTTTTACATGCAAATGAATGAAAATACGAGCTTTATTAAAGGACAAAAACAAAAGACTGACCCGACAAACACGTTTTGCTGGATCTGAGTCTTATGCGCTTTCTAACCCTTCACGTTCAAACGAAAACAAACAAATCTCGAAAACAGAACAAGATGACATTTATTGTCAATCCGAGGAAGGAACCTATGACATTTCAGGATATAATCGTCACAAGGAGGCTGATGGTAACATTTATAGTCATACCGTTGATGATGTTTATGATTCAACGACCCATAAAAGAAATGATGATGAAGAGGAAGACAAATATGATCATTTCATTGGACACAAAACAGAAGATTTGTATGATACCTCAATGCAGACATAGTGTGATAACTTACTATTCTTTTTTGTCTTTCCGTTTAACAATGTTTAAAACTCTGTTGTTTTTTTCGTTTTTTTTTTAATTGTTTGCTTTCCACACTTTACATGTATGTGTGATTTTGTTTTGAAGAATATTGGAAATAAATTTGGCAAATAAAACACAGGTTTTCTCATAATTATATATCTTAAGTACAGTAATTGTTGTACCTGTAGAATATATTGACAAACTATTGTTTGAATTTTCCCTAAAGATTAGGCCCTACTTGATTAAAGAATTCTGCTTACGCTTGTGTAGGAGTTTCTAAAATTCATTATTATTTATAAAGCGGAGTGCGGATAAAACATATTAACTGTAGATTTTGGATCATTTGGAAATAAACAGAAAACGAAATCAGTTTACTGCATACTGGTACTTTAAAATCCGATTCAGTCTGTCGATATAGTATAAATAACTCATCATAGATACCAGGATTAAAAAACAATTACGCCAGACACGCGTATTGTGTACAAAAGACTAATCAGTGATGCTCGAATAAAAATAATAAAAAATCCAAATAAAGTACGAAGTTGAAGAGCATAAAGGACCCACTATTCCAAAATGGTTTTGCCAAATTTATCTAAGGCAATCTATTCCTGGGGTCCAAAACCGTTAGTAATTCGAGACAGTGTCATCGACCCAGTGGTTGTAAATAAAACTCATAAAAGATACCAGGATTACAGTGATGTACGCCAGACGTAGGTCAAGGCAGTGTTCATATTCATATTTCATTAACGTGTTCTCATCCTGATATGCATGACCTATTTACCATTGAACGTTAGAAAACAATCTATCATCATCGTCATCATTATCATTATCATCATTATGATCATCACCATCTGTTCTGGTGTGTAAAACGACCGATTATTTATAATTTAGTAAAATTGGCTACCAAAAGATCTAATGGCAGTGAGCAGTCACTGAAATTGTGTTAAAGTTCAATGTAAAATAACAAAAATACCTAATTCCAAGGCAAATTCAAAACACAAAGTCATTTATCAAATGGCAAAATCAAAAGATCAAACACTTCAAACGAATGGAAAATAACTGTTATTCCTGATTTGGTACAGACATTTCCTTATGTAAAAAATGATGGATTAAACCTGGTTTTATAACTAGCTAAAACTCTCAATTGTATGACAGTCGCATAGTATTCCGTTATATTGACAACAATGTGTGAGTAAAACAAAAGACATATTATTAGGTAAAAATGTCAAAAATTTGGATACAGCAGTCAACATTGTGTTATAGTCTAAATATAGACATAAAGACACTCTTTAGACAAAGCTCAAAAGCAAAAATGAAAGACAAAGATACAAAAAAAAGACCATAGCACAACAACACAATGGCAGGATATATACATACCGAGCCACGCCAAAGGGATATTACCTAAAACAGTAAAAGTTAAAAATATACAAAGCCAATAATAAGAACACTATAACACGTAATTAAAATGATAAGCAACGTCAGTACCTAGAATTTATACTTCGATGTATTATTTGAAAAGTTGATACGGAATAT